TTGAACTCCTGTTCCACAGAGGGAGAAAGGTGCTGTTTTGAGGCCAGTGTCAGATCCAGGCATGGAATTTATCTGTGTCTTGAATCACAAACCACTGAAGGAGTTGGTGGGATGTTTGCATGTGGGTAAGGAGTGGGCAAATGCAGTTTGACTTGGGAGCTGGTTAATAAAGAGTGCAGCACAGAAAATAAAATCCTCAGAGGAGACTTAATAACTGGGGAGAATAATTGTAAAGTACTTCAGAATATTAACCAATGGCTGAATGCATCTAATTAGCTTAATGAAGCTGGATGGTTGGGTTCTTTTTTAATCAAACAGATGGACAAAACATTATGCACAAAAAATGAGATCTGAATACAATGAATGCATTTAATTAGCAATTAAAGACAGAGAAAGGGTTTGTTTTTCAACTTGTGAGAGATTCTTCTTCACTGAATGCTCAAAAAGAGACTTGCATGCCATGGTTTCTCAGGAAGTCTTAGATTATTGCAATTATTATTTGTAATGGCTTAGGTGTTTGAGATGGGAGTCAGCCTGGGGCTAGCTGTGCCTGCGGGGAGGAGAGTGGGCGCTGGTGGCAGCAAGGCCTCGCCAGCCCCCACAGTGCTGCACCAGCACGGAGCAATCGGTGGCTGCTTGCTGCAGCTTGGATTCCCCAAGGACAGACTCAGTAGCAGTAATACTGCTTAACCCGCCACTCCAAAGCCTTTTACCTGTGTTTATATGTGAGCATCTCTGTTTTGCAGAAGTGGAAAGTGAGGAAGCAGTAGCCCGAAGTTAGGCAGGGTGTAGGTTCAGTGTTGAACATATGGTGCTAATCAAGGTGCCCTCAGTATTCAGTACACCTGCAGAGCATTTCCCTGATGGCCCATGCTTGTGTTGTCCATGCCTGGAGTTTCTGCAGCCACCCATCTGTAATGCTGCTGGCCCTGGTCAATGAGATCAATTCCTGCCACTGATTGCCCTGGCCTTGCTGCAGTGCTGGCTCCTGTCCCTCTTGGTGCCCATTACAACATGCACACTCTGCTGTAATCTGTCTAACCAGTTTTGCTGTGCCATGGAAACCTGGTGCAAGTCAGTGCCTTACCGCTCCAGACAGGAGACTCCTCTCCATATGAACCTCAAGTGCTTATGTAGGTGTGTAAAAGTATCTCTGAGTCTTGCCAAGGCTGGGAGCATTTGTTCCAGTCTACTATTATAAGCTGAACAAGCCGTTTTGATATTAAGCCTATAATAATAACACCTTGTAGCTAAAGAATATGTTTTTCCCCATTGGTGGATTACTCAGCTCTGTTCTTTTGAGGCAGTGTTTAACAAAAGCAAAGACTTTCCCAGACTATATTTAATTAAACAGAACTCGGTGATCTCTTCAGCTTCATTTTAATGCTGTGACTATGTTGCTCTACAGTCACATCTCTGGGGCAGTTAGAAATGGAGCTTGTAGTCTGCCAGAGCACAGGCCAGGCGGGTCACTGTCCCCTGCCCAGATGTGCCCGCCCAGATGTGCCCAATGGTCTGCTAATCCTGGAGGGGCTCCAGCTGCCCTTCAGTATGATGGGGAATGAGGCACTTGGGGCAGCCCGTGAAGCTGAGCAGGTGTTCGGGCTGAGCCACGTGGCCCATTCAAGTGACAGCTCAGCTAACATGCTTTACAGTACAACGAAGATTTGGGGTTCTACCTGCTTCCTTTTTTGTTGCTGATGTAGGTACAGGAGCATTTTGAGTACGATGGCTTGGCTATCAACAGTTGGATACAAAGTGAAGACCTGAATTTGAAGGCTCCTTATTTCTATCTTAGGAGGTATCTGTGAGCAGATGGTGATATGCTCTGCTTTTGCTTATTGTTGCAGATTATTTGCCAGATAATTTTCTGACTAATCCTTTGGCCGGTAGACTGTTTAAAATCCTGGAGTCAGGTTTCTGGTAAAAACACTTGTGTTTGCAAATTTTAAAATCTGTTCCTGTGCCTGCTTGCTGATGTCACTGTGAGCAGGAGACTTTCTCTAGGTGGCAGATGCCCTCTGGTCTGTGGGAGAGGGACAGCTCCTAAAGCAGAACCTCCCTCCCAGTGACAGGATGGGAAGTAGCACCTTCATGCCCAGTTTTGTGTTTATTGTAAAGCATAGTATGGCTGAAGTCCTATCCTTAGTATCAGCACTATCATACTGGCATCCCCTGAGGTCGCATTGCTGTTTCATGTGGCATGGTAAGGAGGCAGTCCTGCTGACACAGAGCTTGTGTTTTGTGCAGGTGATGCTTCATAACTTCATCTGTGCTGATCAGCAGTTGGGTGATTTGCCTGTATGTAGATGGGCAGGACACTGGTAGCAGCGCTGATACAGATACTGTAGCCACCAGCACAGCTTTCCCACTCCTGTGATTTTTTTCTTTATATTATTTTTTCCACCCCCTTCATCTCTTGCCACCTTTCTTTTTTTAAAAAAAAAAAAAAACAAACTCTTGGATGTCTCTGGAGAGCTGACTATGGTAACTGCTTGACTGATTTATTCTAGTATTTTAACATTTACTGGATTTACATAACAGCCAAACAATCTGTTTCGGGAGTTTAATATAAACCCAACTCTAGTGAGTCACATCCATGTTAGCAATAATGCAAAGAGAGGCAGCTGGGGGAGTGAGGAGGTGACTTTTTTTTCTGGGTTTCTGCATGGGAATATCTGGCTGCCTGAAATATCTCTGACACCTCATAGCTGAGTGATGCTGCCAGTTCTCCTCTGCCATCGGGGATTTGTTCTGAAACTTTGAAAGAGCAATGGATGTGTCACACCAGTGCTCCCATTGCTGCTTCTGGCTGAGCTTGGTGGCCTTTCCAGAGCAACCCATCAGTGCTGCATGTCCCTGGTGCTCTGCAGCCTTGTGGGGTGTGCATGTTTGGAGAGAGGGAGTATAGCTGTAAGAGTTGAAAGATGAGGCCTGCAATAATCTGCTGTTTGTTTTTTCAGTTAAAAAACATGTAGCCTTTGTTTGTGCCAGAGCTTTGTGGGCCAGGTCCTCAAGGCATGCCTATCAGCACAGTGGGATGCTGATGTGTACCAGCACATCTTCCTGGGATCTGGCAACCCATGTGTGGGATTTTGGGGCCAGACTGGGTTGGAGCTCAGCTGGGTGAGAGCTGGCCCTGTGCCCCTGTGCCGTCAGCAAGACGGCAGAGCTGCCGGGGTCGCCCTGTCCAGGCATGAGCCAGGTGAGCAGGGCTTGTTCCTTGGGGACAACAGGAGTGAGATCTGTCAGGATGATTAACAGCAGGGGTTTCTCAAAGTGTGGTGTGTAACCTGCTGCTTTAGGTCTGGTCCAGGCAGAATAAATAAATTTGGGTCTCCTTCAGTTGTCTTTCACAGTTGTATGAATGCAGCAAACCTCCAGAGTGCCTCTGCCATGGGCAGCCTGACCCCCCCTGCTCCAGAGGCTCTGTCACCTCTGAAGTGGCGGGGTTTTGTGATGTGATCAAGCAAAATGGGCCTCCAACTTGAGTTGCCGTTTACAAAAACACAGAGCAAGAGACAGCAGGAATGGAATAGCTGGGTCTGAGTTGCTGCCTGTGTCAGAGGTTGGCTGTTCAGCTAAGCATGAGCTTTTCTTGCTGCAGCTTGCTTATTTGAATTCTTGTCTTTAGAATGGAAAATAAATGCTGGCTGATGAGATCCATTACAGCACTAATTTTAGAGCATGCCAAACACTAGGAAATTGTTTTCAGTCTCCAGTCTCATTTCTCCTTTATTTCCCCCCTCCATTTGTGAAAACAGCCTTTGTCATTCTTCTGAACGCCCGGTGAGGTCCTGCTCACTGGTATCTTCAGGCGTTCTTCTTCCAGCCTTCTTTTCTGATACTTCTTCGTTCAGCCACTTGACACTGCTGTTATAAAAGCGCTCTCCGGGGCTGCAGGCAGCTGTATTGGCACAATGCAGGCAGTGAGTGCTCGGCCAGCTGGTGTGGGATGCCAGCAGAGCCCTCTGCAAGCCTGGGGGGAGCTGGGGAGGCAGCATCAGAGTGGAATTTCTTCTCCTTGGGCACACAGGGCTTTGTAAGTCTTTCCAGCCCCACCCCTGCCTGCTTTCTCAATGACTAAGAGGAAAAATATGAATTTCCCTCTGGTCTCCTGAAGAGTTTAGGAAGCAGTCCCAAAGCTTCAGTGTTTGTCCTTGACACTAATGAAAACCTGAGTTGTTGCTCGAGAAGATAGAGGAGGCAGCGAGTTAAGAATTGAAATGCTTGATCAATGCCAGAGGGAACAGCAGTGCACAGAATCTAGATTTTTAAAACATAATTCCTTTCCATCAGCTGGAAGCTTGCACTGCTTTGAGAAGAGCCCGGATGCCTAACCACTTGTCTCCTTTGAAACCCTCAGGGTGGCTGCAGACACCAGTGCTTCCTTTAGCACTACTTGCTCACAGTGTTCAGTAGAGTCTGACTGAGCTCTAGATTCAAGTTGGTGGCAAAAGTCCAATGGTTTCACTCCATGCAATTTTCAGAGGCTCTCTGGAATATGTTTCATGGATTTGTCAACCAGATGTCCCTGACAGCAGCTGCTGTGACCATTAGCAGACTGATTACCAAAAGACTTGGTGCCTGCCCTGGAGGGGCCTCTGAAAATCTTCCCTCTCCTGCCCCTGGCTTCCTCACCCTTCTCTCGTCTGGAGAGCCCAGTCTGCTGGCAGCTGGTGGTGGCTGTATCCCTCAAAGATCTGTCTCTTGCCCTGGCTTCTTGTGCCAAAGACCAGTGAAAAATTCCCTACTCCTAACACTCATCATTTCATGCCTTCCCCCGGTGCGCTGAGCCCTGTGGCTGCACGAGGTGTCAGCCCGCGGGAATTCAGCAGGCGAATGTCTTCATAGTCGGCCTTTGTGAACGTGGCTGAGATAAACCCTTTACTGAACTAAATGAAGTAACAGCTAATCCCTTGGAAACAGTCACCTGGGCCCTGCGTGATGAAAAGAGGCTTTACTGCTCTGATTAACAGTACTGGCAAGAACATTAACTCACTTTTCTTTGGAAATGAAAAGCACCTCTCCAGGAGAGTTGAAGGGATTAGGTACCATCTGGAATATTAAGGTAGGTTTTTTGCACCTTCCTTCTATATATGTAGCATAAAAGCCCATTCAGCCTTGATGGGATGGGTGATTACGGCTGAGTGTCCCTGTGCTGTGATAGAAAAGAGACTGGCCATGGTGCAGAGGTCGGTGTGAGACTGGTGTCACCTGAGGAGCTCCCCAGGGAGGATGGCAGTGGTGAGCAGCTTCTGGCACGGACTGCCTGTGCTGGGATGTCGTGCAGGGTGCCAGGGTTCAGTATTGTAAATTAACCCCTATCAGACTGGTCAGCACCCACCTAAAGGGCTGAAACTCATTTAAGCCTTGCTGAGAACCAAATGACACTGACCTTTTCCAGCCCCTTCTTTAACAAATGCTGAAGGCTGTGAAGAGTGTTCCAGTTGTTTTGACAACTTTTCTGGGGGAGATTTGCACTGATTTTTTTTTTTTTTTTTTTTTTTTTAACACAACACTTAGTTTCAAAAGCCTGAACTAGAAATTCCATCTACATTAACAGCAAAGGTCTTGTACTTCAGTGGAGGCCACTTTGGGTTGTATTTTTGAGGCCAGGCTTTTTTCTTAGTGCTGGCTTCCATGAGGCTGCACACCCAAGCTCTGCCCTGGCAGGACTGCAGCCTGACCAGTGAGCATCACATGTGATGCTTGCTGATGAAAGCTGTTGACCATTAACCTGGCTGACTGAAGGGGTTAAAACAGGTGTGTAAAATTTGTCTATAAAATAATGTAAGACTGAGAAAAGATTAAACACTTAAGTAATTGTTGTTCGGAGCAGGTTTGAGTGCTCAAAATACTTCCAAAATCCTGTTACCTTTCAACCTGTTTTTCTGCTATTGAATTTTCTATTTTAAGTAAATAGCACAGAGTTAGCTCAGAAGGGAAAAGATATAAGTGCCACTGTTCAAAGTGTGCTTTACTGGTTAGGTATTTATGGAAGACATTCAGGAAATGAGCAAACACTTGAAAGTATATGTATTATTTATTATTGTAGCTGATTAATTATGACTTGAAACCTTTTGGTTGATGTTATGGCTCTGTGTACTCTTCACCAAGCAATGCTCCAGCAAAGTATATGCTGTCATTTGTCCCAGTTAAACATTGCAGGAGATGAAAGTGCTACAGTTGATTTATGGAAGTTGGGAGTTTGAGCAGTAGAAGATGACAGCGTGGCACTCGGTGCAAGCACTGGTAGAAGTCAGTGGGAGCTGCAGGAGAACAGGATCAGAGAGATACTTGGTGATGGCTCAGTCCTCCCAGCATGAGGATGAGGAGTTGCTGGCTCCATTTTGTGGAGAAGCATCAAGGTGGGTTTAACACGTCTGACTCTTGTGTGGCAAAGTGATGACAGTCAGGAGTAAAACTCAGCTTGCAAGCATCAGGCTGCCAGCAGGGACTTGGGCTACCTGCTTCTACACTAGTAGAAGCTGTATTCCTCTGGACTGGAATAGAAGTGCAAGGCAATTGCTTGAAAAAAGGAGGTCACTTTTACCAGTCCCAGTTGTGCAACTGGCTCTGAATCCATGGCCTCACTGTGCAGCAACCTGCTGGCTTCGTGTCCTCCCTGGACCCACTGTTAGATGTTGCTTTATGTAAGACCATGTACCACCATCTCTATTCCTGCGGAGGTTCCCAAGCTGTGACTAGAAAACATCTTTAATTCATGTGAAGCCCACCCAAAGCACTGGGTGAGCAAAGCACAGATCCCATCCAGCAGTTTTTCCCTAAGCAATATGATTAGCTTTAACAAGACCTAAGCAAATGAGGCAGGTGTTGAGGTAGTTACTTACTTGTGATCTGCACATCTGGAAGAATAGTATAATAAAATCACAGCGGAAGGGGTGGTGGAACTCTCTCTGCCTTTAGCAAAGTAGATGTGATGTTCAGCTGCAGTGGGAAGAATCCCCTTGCCACTGCCCATGTAACTGGAGGTGAGCCCTTCCCTCCTGCAGTAGCCATCCCTGCAGAGAGAGGCTCATTTAACCCTTTTGCAAGAAAAGTTTGCAGAATGATGCAATTAGAAAAGTTCCTTAATCAAATGACTCTTGTGGGAGAGGAGTGAGGGGGCCCGGAGAGGAATGGAAAAGGCATGAGAGATATAGGAAAATGCTTTTTATGGAATGAATAGGTTTTGGTGCAGAGGCGGCAGCGTTGTATTTTACTCTAATTTGGGGACTTTTTTGGGAACGTGTGATTGACACCCAAGGAGGGGTGCAGGATGTTGTTTCTCAGCAGGCTGTCATTCCTGTGCTCCATTTACCTGTCAGCACTCCCGCGGAGATGTCTCTCTGGATGCCATTAACCCATTTCCCACAACATGTCCCTGCAGCCTCTCCTGGGAGCTGGCAGCACACGAGGGGCCCCATCCAGTCCCCACAGCTGCAGGGAACCACTTTGGGGTTGTGCTTTGGCTTTTTTTTTTTAATTGGCTGTACCTTTGCACCTGGTGAGCAGGAGCCCTTCTGCTATAAGTCCATCTGTGGCTTATTGCTGATGGGCCATGTGCTGCCCAGCCCTGATGCCCCATCAGCTCCAGGCTCGCTCCTGCCAACGCACCATGGTTTTACTTAGCTGGCATACAGTCATCCCTAGCTCTCCTCTCTCCCCGACAGGGCTGTCATCTCCCTGGGGAAGGACTGGCTCTTGTTTGGTGCCTGGCCTGCAGCAGCTTGGGTCCCTGCACAGCATCGTGCCCAGACCCTGCAGGGTCAGGGGAAGTGATGGTCGCACTGGAGGTCTTTTCTCTACCACATTGGCCCTGCTCTGGAGAGGAGGGACTGGTAGTTCCACCCTTATAAAAAGGGCCATTAAGAGTTTTGGTTTGCTACAGTATAAATTTCAGACAAATTCTGCTTCTTGGCCCTGTCCCCTTAATTAAGAGTTTGTATGTTAAATGCTATGAGCCTGAGCAGACTCTCATTGAAAAGTAAACTGAGAGCGTGGGACTTAGGCGAGTCTTTTGTTAGTGCTGTACAGGGTTTATGCTAATAACAACAGCAGAGATTGAACCCAATCCCTGATGAGCTTTCCAAGAGTCTGATTAATCTGTTTAACAATGGATCTGGGTTTTTGTTTTGATCTTTTTCATGAGAGTTAAATTTTTGTCCCTTTCAGAGTAGCTGTGGATCATGTAAGCACAGCAGTATTGTTTTCCTAATTGGCTTCAGGTTTATCTATATCTATTATGTTAAGGGTTTGCAAGAGCACCCGTCACCATGGCATCAGAATGCTTCCTATGCCAAAAACGCTTGATAAAAACATACATATACGTGTGCACACGCTTTTTTTTTTGGCCTGTTGGAAAGTGCGAAGACATTCTGCTGGAAGATCATGTTTTTGCATGATTGTATTCCCCAAATAGTTAGCTTTGCAAATCGCTCTCTTCTGCTCGTGCTGGTATGATGACTCTGGTCCACTTGCCATTGAAGAGAGACATATTTCCGATGAGCTTTGGACCAGACACTGTACAAGCAGAATTTTGCATTTCAGTTGTTTATGGTTTATACTGTGGTGATGGTGTTGGTGCCATACAAAGAGTCAGTGACAGACCCTGACTCAAACTTACTGTCTAAAGGTCAAGATGTAGCAAGGGAAGGAGAGAAGGTTGGGGAAGCAGGGGAGAAAGTATCAATCTTTAGCTAGTCAGACTAGTGTCTCCCTGGGGCAGGCCTCAAATGCTCTGGCTGGCTGTGACTTTCTGAAAAACGCAGCAATGGTATGGGGAGGCAAAATATTTACAGTGAAGATGCAGATGTTGAAGGTAACAGGATTTAAAGGCTGTGTGACACAAAATAGAGTGAGGCGTAGAGCTGGAGGAACCAGGCTGTGCAACATGCACTCAGATAAATGTTCTACTATTTATAGGAAAAGCTTCTTCCTCTCTTGATTTCACCTCTTCTTGAATGCGCTCAGTGATTGCTTTTCAAGAATGTATGAATGCTTGTGAAAACGGAGCTTCCTAAACAGACCTGGAATGTTTATATGAGTTAATGACTTCATCCCCACTCTGTTTTTAAACAACCAGAGCTCTCTGAAGCTGCTTTGGCCACAGTCAGCAGTCCTCTGCAGAACAGATCGGGTGCCAGCGTTGGGGCATTGTGGTGGTGGCTGCACACAGCTCCCTCCATCCTGGGGAGCTTTGTCATTACTGACTTTACTAATGTGCTTACGGCAGGGTGGGAAGGAGTCTTCCCAGGGGTGAGAAATCTGTGTGAAGTGTATAACTTGTCTGGGATTTGCATTGTCACAGAGCAGAGGGTGAATGAAATTTCACCAGTGCTTTCCAGTTGGAGCAGGGTGAAACCCTTAGCCTGAAACCAGGGGCTTGTAATGGGTGGGTCTTTATAAAGTATTTTATTCTGGATGTTTTCCTCCTGCTTCTTTGTTCCCTGAAGTCCTTTTTGAATTCAACTGCTAGGAAAGAGAGCTGCGTCGGTGTGCTGCCGGTACCCCAAGAGCAGACCAGCCTTGCCCACAGGTCAGATGCAAACAGCTGAGGGAGTATTTCCAAGGGTGAGACTGTCCTTACACCTCTGCAGCGGACTCCTAGAGAAGGGATTAAGGATAACAGTAAGCTCCTTTTGCCTGCCTCTCTTTCCCCAAGGTGCAACTATCTACTGAGAGGATCTGTCTTTGGGTTTGTGATTCACAAGTGCCAGAGGTGTAAGCTCAAAGTGACGTGGTGGCGTGCTGGTCTGTAATCCTCCAGCAGCCAGCGCGTGCCCTGTGTGATGGCCTGGAGAGCTGGAGGCAGCTGCTGAAGTCTTGCCGCCTCATCGGTGCTTGGGAAAGTGGCTTGGACGGGTACAGACACTGAGCGGTTATCCCAGCAGGGAGCAGACAGATCTCATGATGTTATAACTGTAGCAGAAGAGATGGTAATTACCCTTTATTTTGAAGGATGCCTTTAGTGTGGGAGGGGGGGATGTGTTTGAATCAGTATGAAGTGGATTTGTGATAGAGCTGCTGTGCACTCTTAAAGGCTGTTGGGTTTTCCTCGCTCCTGGAGACTTTGTGCATCTGATATGATCACCATGGAGAGAAATAGATGATGATGTGCTGGTGGGGTCTGAGCTGTTCACTTAAATTTGTGTGCATGTGTGTCTGAAGGTGTATGTGAGTGCATGTGCCATCCTGGCAGCAGCCAGGCTGTGTTCACAGCTGAAGATATCAGTCCTGAGGGCCTCCCTCTGAACCCTTCAGAAGTGTGTGTCCACCCACCCGCAGCTTTAGTGTTTTCTGCTGTCATGATGCTGAAAACTGGCTTATCCTTTGCTAATCTTGTACCTGCACCTGCAGGCAGCTGTTGTGAGCGTTTGTGGAGATTTTCAGCCTTTTCATCCTTCCTCATCAATGCTGGCAGCTGCCACTTCTGGCTCATGGTAATTTTGACTGAGTTACAACATCCAGACTTTTCTGGGCTGTTTCTTTGGGTGTAAGCCTCTCCATCCTCAGGCCAGCCTGTTGTCTGGGCTCTCATCCCTTTTGCTACCTGAGATGGATCATTTTCCATGTTAGATTATTTCTTCGGTGAAGTTGAAGTTCTTGGAGGGAAGCAGGGTGTAGGGAGGTGGCCAGGAGGCATCGGCAGTCTAATGTTTCAGCTGAGGAAGATCACTGCCATGCTCTGGCACAGCAGCTGTGGAGCCAAGGCTCCATGGATTCATAGGATTAGGTCCTGTTATCTGACCTGAGTTTGTGAGGGGTTGAGTTGCGTTCACTGGATTTAGCACGAAGGGGTGCAAAGTTTTCCTCTGGGCCAAAGAGAATAATGGAGGCAAAGCAGCCTCAGGTCTGTGGAGGAAAGCAGGTGGGTGTTGGCAACTGTGAACACCTTTAGTCCAGCACAGGCAAATTGCAAATTCATTTCCTGGTGAGAAATCTCTATTCTTTTATATTTATGTAAAGGCAGATGCTCACAGGGACGGCCAGTTAGGTGAAAACCCTGGCTGAATTCTCCTGCGAGTGAAAGACTTGAAAAACCTAAAAATTGTGGAAGTGCAGTACCAAGATACTGGTTGTAGTATGTTGCCAGCAGTATGGTACAGACAATTTAAATTAGTTCTGTGAAGTTATTCCACTTACGAGTGTATTTTTTGTGCTGTGCTAATTGAACATGGAGAAGCTGGCAGCCCCACAGAAAGGCCGTGCACTGGACTGTAAAACAGATCGAAGAGACTAATGGTTTGTGGGGGCGCCCAAGCTGTTTTCTGGGTGCGTTACCGCCTCTTTGCTTGTGGCTGCCCTGATGGACCACAGCGGTGTGAATGGCCTTTGGAGGAGAGACTGGACCTGCTGACTGATGTCCTCACCTGGGTTTTTGGAAGAGGTCAGAGGGACATCTGCCATAGACCTGCTGTCGGTTCTTAAACTAACATTACAAAGGCATCAAGGTATCTGCTAGGGTCTGTTAAGAAGTATTTATGAGAATTACTTCTGCTCCCCTGCCCAAGGATGCTTCCCACAGGATGTATGTGAAAATGAGTGCATTTATTTTGCAAGGTTCTTGTATTCCTCCAGAATGGAGAGATATTTAAGTACCGTAAGCGGTTTAACTTAATGCTTTTGCAGTTTCATGTAAGTGCTTTTGCAAGAGTAACAGAGGGATGTCGAAAGAGTTTGGCTGCAGTCCTGGCACCTGCCTGCAGAGCCCCGCTGGCTCCGGAGCCAGGCTCTGCCTTTCCCCCTGCCAGGAGCAGGGCTTATGCTTGTATTTGCAGGGGTGATCAGCTGCACAAGTGACTGGTGCCAGCAGCTTGTACATGCGTAACCCAAGTGTTAGCTGAGGTTGGAGGCGTCTCCAAAATTGACTTTCAGGACACTTTAAATGCAAACTCGTGACAGTGGTTTTCCTCTGCTGTTTCAGCACTGGTGTTGGAAACAGGAGCCCGTTCCTGACCTTGGAGTGCTGCTGCATTAACATATAAAATGGACAAGTGATTTAGGTAATGAATTGATTTGGGTATGGTCATGGATTGAATGAGACTTCTAGAGCCAATGTGCTTACTCATCAGATGACTCACATCTTAGTCACTTTTAGAATAAGTGCTTCTCTTTTTGGGTGCTTCCAGAATGGCATGGGTAGAGATGAGTTTAAAATTTCTACCTCCCCCTTTGATAATTTTTTAAAAAGTTTCTAAAAACAGAATGATTGTGGGAGGGAAGATAATACAGTCAAATCAAGGCCTTTGGAAAGAACGTGACAGGATGGTTTATTGGACAGAAGAGGAGACAGCTCTATCTGGAAAGTAAGGTGCGTCCCAGGAGCTTAGCCTGAATTCTACAGCACTGAGAGACTTTAATGCTGCTGTTTGCTTCCTGGTCAGGCACAGTGATCTCATGTTTCAAATCAGACTTCCTAAGCTTTGTTCTCAGGTTACTCTAGTGAGTCCACAATGTGGGTAGCTACAAGTCTGAGCCTATTCTCAAATTCCTGTGCCACCAGCAGTACATAAAAGCATCCTTAGATGGAAACTGGCCCCTGAAACACACTCAAGATTGCTGTGCAAATAAAACCCTGCTGTTCTCAACTTCTATTTATATGTAACTATATTTTTCCATTACCAAAATATTGAAGAAGTTGAACCCGATTATTCAGAAATGTGCATATGTGTAAGCAAGTGAATCTGAGAACCTAGGGAAACAATGAGAAATTACGTTGTAATCCACTGTAAGATTTATATAGCAAATGAACTATTTTTTTCTTTTTCTTTCTAATGTCGATCTTCTTTCTAATCTCACGGTCATCTTGCAACAAATAGAATGTAGGCTATTCCTGATCAAACCAGGTTCCTGATGAATCAGTTGAGCTCAGAGTGGCACAGTGTGATCTCTGCTTCTTACTTGACTCATGTGGCTGGGCGGCAGCTGAAGTGGGAGAGCCGTGCAGGGAGTGACACAGGGCGTTGCTGCCGGCTTAGGCACAGGCTTTGCTAAACTGGATGTGGTTAAACTCTTATCAGTGCTCCAGATATTGAAAATGGGGATGCACTGACTGTCAGTAATAGGTCTGTAAGCATGACACCAGTGCAGATGTTTTGGTTTGTGTCCAGAATGATGATGTTGTGTTATGAAAAACAATGCTGATGTTAGATCTACTCTTGCAGTGGTGTGTTCAAATACAGGAAGGGTACAAAGGCACACAAAGTAGCCAGAGTTTGGGAATCAGAAACTTGGGCTGCTTTTACTGAGCACTGTGTTGCTGTCTGGGTGACCCTGAGGGAAAGTGTCTCTTCCTAACTCCTCTCTGTAAATGTTCTTTTGGCCCCTGGTGAATAGGCACCGTCTGTAAAACATGGATAGGTCATGGCAGGTGACAGATACTATGTAAATGAGAATTTCCCACTGATATGTATTAGGCTACAATTTCAAAAACAGGAAGCTGAAGAATAGGGTTTTATTGTTAAACAGAACTGGTGAAAGGAAAGCCAAAAATAGTTTTCTTATGAGTATCCTTTGTCAGGTACTAAGAGAATAATTCACAGGCTTGTAGGTTTTAACGTCTCTATAACTGTCTATGCTAGATCTCCTGGGTCACAAGTGTGGAGGATTTTACCAGCATTTCCTTTTGAAGAAGTCAAGTCAAGAGGAATTGATCACTTCCTCAAGAAGTTTTCCAATTTGTTTTGCCTCTTTTAATTGCAGAAGTAGTTTCTTTGTGTTCTCTGTTTTAAAATGTAACTAATTTACGAGATTCTTGCTAAACCTCACAGGCAAAGGAATACTACTAATACATAATAATAATATAATAAAGGCAAATGTTAGCAGTTTAGTGTTGTTACTGCACAGAAAACCTTCCAGGTTAGGTTAGTTTACATGCGGAGAATGCAGATAAAGCTGCCTCCAAGTGTGGGTTACCTCTGGGTTTATTTGTACTTCTGCTCAGTGTTTGGTTGCTGATATTGGGTGTTTCTGGCAGCCCTTCCAAGTGAGTGTTGTGTATGTGTGCCTCCCAGACATCAACAAGCAATTAGGAAAGCATGGGAGATGGCCGTTCTCCCTGCACCCCCGTGCACCTCTCTCATGGGCTCAGGCAGCTGCAAAGCAAACAGCCACGGTGATTTGGGGCTGGAGAGGGACAAAGTGAGAGGAGCTGAGCAGGAGGGGCTCTGGAAGACTTGATCTGAGCACAGCTGACCTGCATGACCAGATGAGACCTTCCTACAGCCCTCCAGACCCCACAGCTGGGTTGTGTCCTTGCTCTCCATCTCTTGTGTGTAGGCAGCTGCAAACTCATCTGGACAGAGCCCAGTGCTGCTGCCGTGCTGCGTGTGTGCCCGGGGGGCCGAGGGCAGTGCTGGGGCCATGGTGCTGCTGTGTGCTGCTCTTCCTCGCTACGCGATAAGATGCAGAGCTCAGTGTGGCTGATGGTGTTGCAGCTTGCCCAGGTGGAAGAAAGTAAGGTGGATAGAGTTGGACCCCATCTAAGAGGATGGATGCAGTGGGAATTTTCTGATGCTTCCTTGATGTGAGCCCTGCTAGCCTAAGGAAGAGCTGTAAACGCAAATATGGAAGAAAATGCTCTTCTCCTCCTCCCCTGCTGGAAAAGGAGCCCTGTGATGGCTTCAGTGGAACTGGGCAGCTCTCTTGTTTAGATACATGTGAAACACATTAATCCAGACACTCATATGAGTATTTCCACATTTTTGAGGCTGAGATTTTCAGTGTTGTTGACTCTTCGGCACATAAACGTTGTCCCTTCTGATGTCCTCAGACCATAGTTAAAGTTCAAGTATGTGCTTAAGTGTTTTGCTGGAGTAGAGCCGACATTTTCCTTGCAGAGAGCAGCAGTGTGTTGGGAAACTCGGTGGCTGCACACAGACTAATTGTTCCAAGATGCATCCTGAAAGGTGCTGAGCACCCTGGCTGGGAGCCAGCAAGACTTTTAAACACATGCTTTGGGTTTGTTTTTTTTTTTTTTTTTTCCATGTTGTTACCAGTTTTGTTCTTTGATTTCTTTTCCCCTGGCAACTAGGGAAGGATATCTGAGTAGCGAGAGCAGTGTAATTTATCTGCCAGCAACACAGGGATGTCTTCCAGGACATGGGATAGCTAATGGTAGCAGGTATTGTGACCAGTGCCCAAGTCAGTTGGCTTCAAATTTTTTTCCTCAGTATTTTCCTGCTGGGCACAGGGCAGGCCAGGGTGCATGAGCAATGCCCAAACTACATTTGTAAACCACATCCCATCTTTCCACATGTCTTTGCTTGTTGTTAAGCTGCACAGGTCATATTTCCTTCCCCCTTCTCCTCTTAAACTGTATTTGCCTTTCCTCTGCCTTGAAAATTTTGGTGGGAAACTGCCAAATTCAGGTTTTATTTGGAAGCGGCATCGTCTGCAGTGGAGCCCAGGGCAGGGCAGAGAGGAGCCTAAAAATTCTCTGGAAGTTGATGGCTCCTAGCTGCTCTGGGGTTTTCAAGGCGTTGTTCTTTGGCTTTGCCTGCTGTGTGCAGGAGGAAGGTGCCACAGGCCTAGTCAGAGGCTGGGAAGGAGGCTTTGATTCTGCAACGAGATGGCCTTGTGTGCTGCGATCAGTATCGGCTGTCTCTCTTCTGTCCCTGTGTCTTCAGCTGGGCCTGCTCCTCCTGCAGCTCTGCATGCCTTACCAGGGCATGCTAGGCAAGACTAAATCCTGTCTTGCTGTCAAAAACTGCACTTCCCTCACCAAGAGATGTCTCCTTCCCAGTGGATTTACTCCCCGTTCTGCTCCTGCACCTGCTGACTTGATGACCAGAAACGTGCCTTTTTCTGCTCTTCTTATTGCGGCCCTGCAGAAGTGATAGAGGTGTTGGATGGGTTTGTGTCACTTCTAATGCTTCAGAGAGGGTTCAGCTGGAGCCACAGAGAAGGGGGGCACTGCTCTGGTTGCAGGCTTGCTCAAGTTGCAGGCTTGCTGTGCGCAGCCAGAATCTGGGGTGCAACTCCGGTGCCACAGGATGGTGTTTTCATACTTGTTTTTCCAAGTAAAGCTGCACCTGGAAACTTTTGTTGTTCCTTTGGTGCTGCAAAGCCTTTTTCATGCTCTGACAAGTGCTGAGATTATCATCAGCCTAAATTTCTGGAATAGCATTGGAGTGACTCAAAAGAGCAGCCTTCTCCCCTGCAGCCTTTGCCTAGTGACTCTGGATAATCTCCAGTCATTGACCCGGGGGCTTTGAAAGTGCATTTGGGCTTAAAGAGCTAAAGTTTAAGGCTTCAAAGGAATTGGGAAGCCCTCTACCCTTTACGTTTCCAAGCAGCCTGGCTTATGTGTGCATGGACAAGGGTAATCGTAGGAGCGGTTTACCTGGTTCTGACTCCTGTGGGATCTGTCGCTCAGCCCCCGGAGCCTGTTCCCTCTGTGCAGAGAGCATCGCTGCTGCCGCCTTTGATTTTGCGCAGGTTAACTGAGGCCATGTTTTCAAGTCTTGGGGTTTCTGAAGACGTGAGGATTATCAGAAGATGTGGGTTTTCCATGTGGAAATGCAGCAAATACTTTGAGCTCTGGATTTGAAGCCCGTTTGTCTTTTCTTACAGCGTTCACTGCTTTTTGTCTTGCCCTGTGTAGTTCTGTGCTTTGTCTTTTGCCTTGGGGTATGCAGACTAGCAGAGTTGATGAAGACCTTCAGCCCCGAGGACACTTAAAGATGGGTGCTGAGATCATTTCCCTGGTTAAAAGTGTGAGAAACAAGCCCACGTATATATAAAAAAGTTTTATTGGGGACAAAGTCAGTGGAGCAAAGAATACAGCGCTGGGTGCAATGGCGCGCCCTGGAGCCAAAAGGGGCTCCCTTTTATTGTATAAATGGTTACATATTCATCTACTCTAATACATATGCATCACTACTTCTAAGGATAGGGAGGGAATATTACAATTAGTTCCGAGAAATCATTAACATATCCCCCCACCCCAAATTCCTCCCGTCGCGCTTGCGCAGTGCTCCCTGGTGGTCGTGGGCAGGGGTCT